ATTATATAAATAAAAATATAATAAATCTCTAAGTAAATATATTTTTAATCTAATAAAATGACAAGTTCTTACTTATAATAATAATATTACTTATAAATATATTATTATTTTATTTTCTTGATCAAATTTTAAATCTTGTAAGTAATTACAAGTAGTAAATACTTCTTTACTCTAAGTAAGTTATTAATTATGTTTTTAATATTATTAATATTTAGATTTTTAGTTTTTCTTTGTTCAGATTGTATTTATTAAATAAGCCATATTGTTAAGTTCTATTATATTATTAGTTTGATTTTGAAAAATTTTTTTTCATTATAATATTATTATTTTTATTTTTTATTTTTTTTAAATATTAATTTATATAATATATATAAATTATTACAAAAAATCTTTAGAATATCAAAAATTTTTTACTAGTAAATAATTTAGTTTAATTTTTATCATATTGCAAAAAGTTTCTTGAGATTATATAATTATTACAATAATCTGATATCTCCCTTTAACTATTATAAAATAACTTATCTTAACTAAATATTAAAAAAAATACAATAATATCAAAAATTCTAATATTTTTAAAATATAACCAAACTTTATTGTTATAAATACAATAAATTATACTAAATTATATAAATATATCTAAATAAATATAAAATTTTTAATTAAAAACGAAAAAAAATAAAACTATCTAATATAATTATAAAGAAAGATTATATTAATTTCATAAAAAAAATTTATTATTGAATAATTTGTACAATTATTAAAGATAATTATAATTTTTTATTAATATTTATTTTTTTGTTTTGAATGCTATTCTTTATGAAGAATTCTTTCAACTTGAAAGTTAACTTTGTTTCTGTTTTTTTTGAAATTCTTGAATAATAGTATAAAGATCTATATATACTTGATTAATTAAAGTTTCTCAATGATAATATTATATTTTATAATATTTTATATTGAAATAAAGTATAAATTTCATAATTGTCATTATATCTTTCTATAAATATAATTATCTTTAAACCATTATACTAATTTATTTGCTTCTAAAAATATTATTGATTTTAGAATATTAAAAGCTATTAAATAATAAAAACACCAAGATAAATAAATAATATATTATAAAACTGAAATACTCATCAATATTATATTGAGTTATTAATTTATATTATTGAATTTTTTTCTTTGTCCTAAGTGAAAAAATATTTCTTATTATTTGTATTGAGAAATTTAGCATGTGATATAATAATTGCTGCATATTCAAAGTCAATAAGAATTCTAAATAGGCTTAACTAAATATTATTTTCTTTAGCAAAATTAATTAATTCTTGAAAAAGCTATTTGTAAAATTCTTCTAATTTATTAAATATTAAAGCAAATATTAATAAAAGAATTCTAAAGTTATCTTTTACACCAATAGATATGTAAATAATATTATTATAGTAGTAATATAAAAATCGCAAATTCAAAAATAATCAAAAAATATAAAATTTTAAAAATAATTATATAATAAGAATATTTTTTTAATATATAATATTTTACTTTTATTATTTTACTTTTTATTTTTTACTTTATTATTTCACTTTTATAATATTTTACTTTTTACTTTTTATTTTTTATTTTTATATATATTATTTTACTTTTTATTATTTTATTTTTTACTTTTCACTTTTATTATTTTACTTTTATAATATTTTACTTTTTATTTTTCACTTTTATATATATTATTTTACTTTTTATTATTTCACTTTTTATTTTTTACTTTTTTATTTTTCATTTTTTTTGAAATTTTACTTTTTACTTTTATATAAGTTATTTCACTTTTATATATTTTTATAATTATTTATTTCACTTTTTGTAATTTTGAAAAATAAATAAATAGAGGTGCTATCTAAGCTTTAACTTGACATATTGTAACTGAAAATAAAAATCTCTTTTAACAAAAATCTTCTTTCAAATACCTTTTACCTCTCATATTTTCTTTATATACTTCAAATTTTGTATATAAGTGATCTTATATTATATTGTATCTAACAAATTGCTAACAGCTTTATATTAGATTGTACTGAGAAAATTATTATTATTAACTTTGAATTTTATATCATATTGCACTGAGCAAATCATTACTTTGGACTTTATATCATATTATGTCAAACAAATTTCTGTTATTATATTATATTATATTGTGCTGAACAAATTGCTGTATTGAAATTATTGAAATTGAATTTTAAATATTTTAATTTTTGTTATTTGAATTTTGATTGTTAATAAATATTTTTCACTCATGAGAAGAACAAAGTGAAAGAATCTTTATTATTATTACTAATGATATTGTCTTAACTCTGAAAGCTTTATACAAGTACAAAGAATTAGCCTTTAAATCTCTTTTACTATCATCTTATTCTTTTATACTCTTTTTTCTCTTTGATTTTTACTCTCCTACAACTGTTTTATATTATTATTTCTTTTTAAGTAAATATAATTTTCAGAGAAATTGGTATAAATCTTAGATACCTCTCTTTTCCTTTTAATATTTTTATCAATTATCACTCTCTCCCAATTCAGGTTCAAGTTTATAAGCTAATTTAATGATTAGTGAACAAACTTATAACAATATATTTATTAATAAAATTATCAAATTAATATATGATTAATATCTAAACTAAAAGATAGCAAATTACACAAACTTGTTTCAAAATCTTAAATATACATCTGATCTTATAAAATTTTGTGTAACAAGTTATTATAACAAACTTTTAATCTTATAGCTCAAAGTTAAGAACCAATAAAATTGTAGTATTTATATAACAAACTGTACATAATTTGTACTTAACTTTTGCAACCAATCAGAATATGATTAGTCATTATGTGGTGTTCTATTTACTAATAGCAATTAATAAACTACAATGCTTATAAATTTTTATATATTTTGAATTTAAAAAAAACTAATCGTTATTTATTTCGGGCTAATCAAAAATTTTATGATAAATTTTGTGTGATACATGTACGTATTAATCTAATTTTGTTTGTGATTGTGATGAATTTATGGTATTTTTTCAGAAGATTGTGATATGTACATGTACGTATTATGTGCATTTATAAAATGACTACGTACGTTAATAAAAAACTCTTATTTAACTACGTATCTCGATTAAAATACGTCATACATCATACATGTACGGGCTATGATCATTATCTAAAGAAAATTATACATCAAGAGAAAGAATTGTCAAACGAGTTGCTAAATCATTCCAATATCTATATATATATGCATATCTAATTCACTACAAATTCTAATTCACAATAAGTACCCATTTACAATAAGTACCCATTTACAATAGCGGCGATTAGTATCCGAACGCCCGAATTATACTACATGTATAACGATAACGAGCACCCAATTTTCTGGGCGTAAAGTGTAATACGACACCTGATCGTTTGTACATTTATAGATAGTAGCGGTAAGCTTCTGTAACTTTCATGCCCCAAATACATAATGTCTCGACGTCCAGTGACGAATCAAATGGTGATATTTTCGTTCAATCGGGTCACTGACGTCGAGACATTATGTATTTGGGCATGAAAGTTATAAGCTCTACCGCTACTAATCTATAAATGTACAAGCGATCAGGTGTCGTATTACATTTTCGCCCAGAAAATTTGGGTGCTCGGTATAGTATAATTTTGGGCAATGCGGGGCGTTCGGGAACTCATGGCCGTTAACCTAGCACACATTCATGAAATGCATCCAGATAAAAAAACGATCCGAAATCTGTTTTCTGAATACAACTCTTTGTAATAACGATAACGATAACACTTTAATCACGACAAAAAAATCTTGGTTCACAAAAGTTTACTTTTTGCTTTTTACAAATGAATGCATATATAGTGATAGTGCATATTTATTCTCTTTAAATTGAAACAATATCTGTATACATAAAAAAGGAATAACTGTAGAAACCATTAGACTAACGCTAAATATTGACTGTCTATTGTAATGTTTATTTACGAAAGAAATTACGTATACTTGTATATGCTATTGCAAAATCATAAGCTAGTACCCTAACCATGGCGAAAAAACGGGTCGGATCATGTGATATTTGTGTATGCCCGGAAAAATTCTACGATAATAGAGATTATTGTCAAAGGTTAATTTAAAGGTTAGGATTAGGGTTAGAGCTAGAGCTGGAGCCGAGATTATATATAAAATTGCCTTCCCGACATTTTTTAGTGTACCGAGCTAGATTTAGGCATCTGTTACCCGTATTTTTTACATTTTATGCTTTTCTCATTTTCTTGCGTCGGATTTGTTGGTTTGTACCATCATCAGCACGTGATCCGACCCTTTATTTTCGCCATGGCTAGGGTACTAATCACAAGCTGCTTGACGTAATCGTGCATACGGCAGTTTTGTCTTGAAATTCTTTCGTAACATCCGCATCAGGATATCTTAGGAAAAAACTGTACAATTACAATCTTTCACTTGTAATTCGCCAAGTGTTTCTTAATACATGTATAAGACGGCGATAGAACAATCTGTGCTCGGTTCCTGATCACATACACATGACAAACCAATAAATAAGGATTCACAAATTTTTGTTCATTCCGGCAAAACAAATCTAACTTGGAGCTAATAAAAAAATGTCGGGAAGCAATTTTACATATAACTTTGTCCTAACCTTACCTGTACACATATGATTTGCGCATTCTTATTGGTTTGTTATTATGTGAGCACAAATTGTACTTTCGCATAAGCATAACGATAACGATAACGATAAGACTGTTACCGTTACGGTTACTTTGTTTAAACCCTGGGTCATGATCGACCGTTGACATACCGATACAGTTCGTACGTAGTGCGACTACGTATGTATACGTAGCTATTTAGAAGAACACAAAAAACCATAACGATAATTTATCAAAATATAAACATGGAGTTGATGCAGAGTTTATTATATTTTTTTGGCTTTTGGGGTTTATTGCACGCTATAATACTTCTTTTAAAGATGTTTGTTTTTGAGAAGGTATTTATTATTATTATAAAAAGTTTTGATATTTATTCTTGTTAATTACACGTAGTATCCCAAACCAAAATAAATTTATTACTGATCCAAAAAATTCAAAGGATCAATTAACGACATCAGCACCTTCTTTCGATACTGTATTGACGGCCTTTGATTTAAGCGATGAAACTCAACTTCCAAGATACCAAATTAATCGAGAAACTAAGCGACACAAGACCACTATTGAATCGAAATATTTTTATTTTCGTATTTCGACAACTCAGCTGAATAATTATTTTCAGAAGGTGGCGTTTAGGACGCCTCGATTTTGGGATTTTTGGTTCAGATTGGGTGTATTTGTCGGTGTAGGGATATTGGTGATTGGAATTGGATTGATGCTTTTTGCTGCGCGAGAGGTTTTTCTTGTCTTGTTTACTGCGCAACGAATGGAACAAACAGAAATTATTAGCAAAGCTGTTTCTAAACGAGATATTTTAAGAGTGAATCCTAGTGCTGGATCAACGTCAACTCATATTCATCATTTTACAAATGTTTTGGTAAGTCAGCTCGAATTTTTGATTTGAATCGAATCTGCTATGTTTGATTGCTTATTGATTTTACTTGCTTAAAAGATTCCTGGACTTACAATACCATGGTCACATCTGGTCTACATTTTGTTCGCATTGCTTGTATGTGGAATATTTCATGAAGCAGGTCATGCGATAGCAGCTGCCAAGTAATTATACATTTCGCTTGTCAAATTTGTTATTTCACTTCAGAATTTAATTGAAACGAGTTCTTTTTTGTTTTAAGATATTCTGTCCCGATGAAATCGGTTGGAATATTCTTCTACGTTCTATACCCGGGTGCATTTGTGGACATCCCGATGCGTAAACTCACCTCTCGTCCTTGCTTCCAGCAATTAAAAATAGCTTGCGCAGGAGTATGGCATAATGCTGTACTTTATTTTCTTGGCGTATTACTAATTAGCGGTGGAATTGTTCCTTATGTGATGGGATTGACTTTTTGGAAGCCAGTTGATGGATGGGGAGTTAACGTCATCTCCGTAGAAAAGGTAAATTTCTATCGGAAATTGTTCCCTACTTTTTGATATTTAAATTCTAATCGCGATCGCGATAGGACACACCACTTTCGAAGCATTTACGCCCGTCAAACCTTATCACTCGTCTCGACGACTACCCATTATCGGAATCCTCGCTTGAGCAATGGAATAACTTTCTATTAAACCACGACAAAATATTCGACGACGCCGACTGGAAGGGGTTTTGTTCTCTCGAAGCAAACGCCGCTTCAACCTTAGACTGCTGTGACATGTCGCTTGAATTCCCATTCGGAAAATCGACGAATGAATCGTTATCGTGCTTTGAACACATCGATGACGGAAAACAAGTAAAAAAAGAACCCTCACATTAATTATGTCGCAGTGAAGTCACCTTTTTGTACTTTTATTCAACATTTTTGAATATACAGTTGATTTGTCTTCCATCTGTACCTACCGTTCGTAAAGATGCTCATCGATGCTCGACAGATAAGGATTGTGTAGCATCTTCAATTGGTCATGATTGCGTCATACCTTATACGCCAATTGATTCCACCAAATTGTTACGTATATATTATCATGATTCTCCGTGGGTTACTGAGACGAAGGAACAACAGGATGGTGAGGTTTTTGAAGAAAAGATGGTGTTGTTCTTTGGACGGCTGGAAGAAGTTTTACAAATTGGTGAGTTGGTCGATTTTAGGCTTATTATTTCGACAAGGCAAGCTTTTTTTAATCAAAAATTCAATTTAGTGCAAGTAAGTGATTTGCAACCTCGTTGGTGGTTTATCCCAGAATGGATTCCAGTCATTTGTGAATTAATGCTAAGGTAAATTTTGAAGAATAGAATTTATTCACACATTCAATCTTAACAACTTCCAAATTATGCTATCATAAAATCAGTTACACGACCTCCGTCTCACTTGGTCTTTGCATTCTAAACATGCTGCCCGCATTCCACATGGACGGATACTACGCACTATCGGCAATCTTGATCTGGATGCTAAAAAGTAATGAACATCGCGACCACTTGATGATGTATGGCGGGGGCGCAAGTAGTGATGCGCGTTTGTTGAAGTGGATTGCGTGGGGTGCTACGGCGCTGGTTACGTGGGTTTTATTGGGAACTTTGATAATTGCTTTGCGTGGATTATAATCATCGTTGTGAAATTATTGTGCAATTGTTAAGCTAAATTTTTGGCTAATTTATTGAATAAATCTCAAAAAAAAAACGAGACTATTAAATGCATTTATTATCGTTATTAACATTATTTATTGTTTAAAAAATTTATTAACGATAACCATTTAAAATACCTGGATAAGGATGAAAAACGGATTATGGTAAAAATTTTGGCCAAAATTGTGCAGATTATGGGATCATTTGGCCAGAATTATGGATAATTTCTTATTATAAAAGAGCAATATTTTGAAAATAACGATAAATGCATAAAATATAATATATAACTTGAATTAATTTTGCAATAATACTACGTATTTATATTGCTAAATACTATGTAAATTTATGAGTATAATTTTTATAGTTGTTGTAAATATACGTATACCATAACGATAATCCGTTTTTTGTATCATGATCCCCACGTAATAACGATAAAAATAACAACACAGTACATGTACCAAAATTACATAATAAAACATAAAAAATGGAAATTTTCAAGCTATGTATATGTTGTGCCCCAAATCACAATCTCCCAATTGACAATTGGAATATATCCCAAATCAAAATCTAAACCCAATACATGTACATGTATAGCCTATCCCCAACACTAACCCTAACCTTACCCTAACTCTGGTCATATTCCTATTCTAATTTGGGCCGATTGTGATTTGGGACAATTGTGATTTGGGGCACAACATATCGATATATATCTAATAATTATTTCTAAATTTTAAAGCTAACGCTGATTATATTTTTTGAAAACTTAAAATGCAAGGGCTGTTTTGATTGGAGTTTCTAGCATTATAATGATCATAGCCAGTCAACTATAACTTACTGGCTATTATCGCTAGCTAATTAAATTCTATTTAATTAATGTAATTTCTATTACGATAGAATGTTAACAAGCAAAAATTCAAATACAGTGAGCGCTCATTACAACACAAAATTTCTCCTCCCGATCTCATTACTGTAATAAGCTTTCAAGGCATTTAATTTTTCGATAAAGTAACATCTTGACATAATAACACCAAAAAATCTCTTCTCCCGATCACGTTATTGTATCGAGCGCCCACTGTATGTAATAATATGTTTTCAGTTAATTATGCTACAATCTTTTATTCAATAATACTAACCATCACTGATGAGTTTCCAATATACTGTAAAACGCTCTGTATAGTATCTCTCCCTTGTAAAGTACTTTCCAGTTTATCGTTATGCACGAATATTTTTATGGTGCGTATTTTTATTTATAGATTTGTATCACTTAAATTAACAACGACGAGAAAAGAAACTATCATCTATGTATTAACTTAGAAATAACAATCATTTAATTAAATTTGAATTGAGAGACTCACGTAATTTTTACATGTATGAATCTCTTCTAATTAAACAAAAGAACTGAATAATTTAATTATATTCTTAACAATTTTTTATGCCATATTTAACAATCAAGAGACTCATGTAATTTTTACAAATAATGAATCTCTTCTAATTAAACAATTCTTTGTACCATATTTAAAGTATGCAATATTCTTAAAAATTCTTATTATTATGTTCTGATCTTATCGTAATTGTTTTGCAAAGTATTAAATTAATCTCTACATGTAATTAAATTCGCAAGAAAATTTAGTTATTTAGATCAATATAAATTCTTGATATTTTCGATGAATATATTAATTTGAAATGGTCAGAAATTCATTTAATAAAATTCATCTTAATGTTAATAGTTGCTACAAAAGTATCAAATTTAAACTAATACAATTATCTTTCCATGCTAGTTTATTGTTATTTAAGCGCACGAAGAAATAATAATTCATAGAACTAGTCCATAAAGAGGTTACAAAAACATCAACAATGATCTAATTAAATTAGTGAACCAATTATATAAAGGGTCATGAGAATCCTTATTACCTGATCATACAGAAACAATATAACTTGAAGTCATGAGAATTATATGAATTGGACCTATTATACTAATAAGTGAGACACTGGATATTTTAATAATGGATGGTATGTTGGAAAAGAATTGAATTATAATTAATTTGTTTGTATTTCCGTTAAAATATTTATAAATAAGATACTTCATAACCAGTTCTATGATAATTGAGTAATTCAAGAAGAAATTATAAATTATTCTAGGTTTAGACAAATATTCATAGATTGCTCATCTAATTTCTTCTGAGATAAATGGATTGAATCAGTAATCGATATGTTAAACCAATAAAGAACACACAGAATTGTTAAAAAACTTATCTGATCATATGGTCTCCAGGTTATAACAACGTGTTATTTATGCTATCCTCACGCATAATACTTTGTTCACACCAAATCTATTTATATTCTACTTACTTAAATCTATGAGATTAGCTTGATCAAAAAATGTGAAATTTTCAAAATATCCACCCCATACTTATCATTATAATTTTTAACGTCACCTATCCATTTTGATCTAATACGTTTTCATTATTATTTATTATCTTTTCATTATTATTTATTATCTTTGACCTGATGCATTTTTTATTATTCTATCTTCAATATTTTTAACTAAAGTATAATGAATACAAATATAGTTTAATACTTGCTTGACAATATGAAGTACCAAAGAAAATGAACCTACGCTTCAAGAAATTATCAATCATATTAACAAAATACCTCTAAAAACCATTTTTGATATCTTACTATAATCGATAATCCCACTTAATACTCTTTCAGTTCCTTGGTCCACTGATCAAAATGCTACTTTATTCTTACCAAATGAAATTAAAACTCAATATCCTAAAGCTTTTGCGGATTTGCTCAAGGAAATGGAAATTATTTATTTAATAGTGATTCTATAATCTATTAGAATCATGAAAAATATGCATATCAGTTAAGACTTGTATTATTCCTAGAGTTACTTGAAACTAGTATCATTATCTTTCATTAAATTTATTTCCAGAAGACTTGATTTATAATGGAACAATAAAGATGATAATCAAAGATTTGATAATAAATAGTGAATAAGCAAATAGTTTGGTGACTAATCTAAAAAAATTGCTCAAGAAAATATATTAGTTTCAATATTTGCAATATATGATCTTGCTTTAGTAATCAAAAAACCAATTTAAACATATTTTCCTAATATTAGATCAAAAATATTAAATTAAATACAAGACATATTCAATCTCGTGAAGTTAATTTATTAATTCCTATCTATAAACCAAAAGTATCAAAATTACTTGAACATCTTATTTTTTTAAAATCCTTACTAAACAAGATCTTTTATAATTTTATAATTAATAAATTTCTGAAATTAATCATTTTGTTCTCATATATTTGATAAGATATTTATTAAAATAAAATTATTATTATTATATTATAATCTTTATATTAATACGTATTTATATAGGAAAATATTGAAAATAATATGATTATTAAAACCAAACTTGATATAAGATCTCTTTTATATTCTATTACTTCACCTATCTCACTATTCAAAATTTCAAATTTGATTACTTTGTTGAATTCTCCAAGATTATCTAATATAAATAAACAAATTCTTATTTAACTATTATAATTAGTAATTCCATCACTTTGACAAAGCAATATTATAGATTTGCTCATCTTCAAAATTATTAATTGTAATTATATTATTAACTAAGCTTGTAATTGAAGAATTATATAAAAAGATTAAAGAACTTGTAGAATAATTTATACAAATTAATATAAAAGCTAAAAAGATACTAAAAAAAATTTATCAGATAATTCTACTAAAAATTATGATTCAGTTCAAGACTTTATATTTATTATTCTGAGATCATTCGTGTGCATATGATTAATTACATTATTAATAGATTTATATTTCAAAATTTAATATATTTGAGACAAAATTATCATTTTATATATGATAAAAGTCAAAAATAATCATAATTTTCTAATTAAATTGCAATTACTTGCAGTAATTCTCAATTAATCAAAGATAATTGGTCAAATATCTTTATTATTAAGAATTTATAAGATATTATAATTCAAATTACATATAGTTTAGCTTCAAGCTTTCTTATAATAATGTTACAATTATTTTCAATAATTCCGTAATTAACGAATCTTTTAAAAATAATAGAAAATATGAAAATCTTC